AGATCTCTTCTGGCTCTAGGCTGATGGGCTTGTGATCCACAGTTCCATGTCCAGCATATCGTCTCCTACATCCCTCTGTCCGACCTGTATATGTAGTCCAGGACAACACATGAGAGTGAAGGTTGTTGTTTAGCCGCTGTTCAGGCATGTCTGACTCTTTGTGGCCCCATTTGGGGTTTTCTTAGCAGGGATCCTGGTTTGCCATTTCCTTTTCCAGCTCATTTTACAGAGAGGAAACTGAGGTAAACAGGGTTAAGTGACTTGCCCAGGGTCATACCGCTAGTGACTGAAGCCAGATTTGAACTCATGAAGTTGAGTCTTCCTGACTCCAGCCCTGTGCTCTATTTATGGCACCACTTAGCCCCAAGAGTGAAGGAGGTTGATGGAATTCCATAAGCATTGGGCATAGAGCCAGAAGCCCCTAGTTCTGTCCAGGTCCACCACTTACTAGCTATGTGACTATTAGCCAGTCAACCTTCTGAGCCTGTTTCCCCTATAGATCATGCTATGATATGTTTAGATGATAGTAACCCCACAATGGTATAAATAATATCTGCACTATCTGCCTCACAAAGGTGCTATGAGTTAATCGCTTTGTAAACTGTCAGTTGCTTCAGAATGTGAGCTCCTGTCATTCTTAATGAGCCCAGGAGCCAAGACCTGTTACACTCTGCTGCTACTGCTGCTGCCCAGTGTGAATTGGTGAATCAGAGCCAAGAGATGTAAGGTAGATGAAGGACAGAGAGAAGGAGAGAAGGAGAAAGTCTGTTGGGATCTCACCCTCCTTTATAGCCCAGGAGGCAAAACCATGTGAGAATATTCTGTGATTCTGTCATTCATATTTTTTAGAGTGAGACTTTCTTTTGCTAACGATATTTAAATTTAATTCATTCCTTTCACCTTCAGCATTTCTGATCAAGAAAATCTCCTTGCACCTCCACACAGTTACATTTAGAGGAATGCAGAGTTTCTGTCCCTTGTTTCTTTCAAGAGCCATAACTAGGGAAGGACCGCTAGTGCTATGTCCCAGGGTGCTAGATTTAGAGGGTGATGATAACACTTCCAGTCCTTCAGCAGCATAGAAACAGTTTTGTACCTAGATAACAAGAATAATCCATTAAAATAAGAGACTACTAGATGGCAGTCCAGGGTGAGCTGCCATTCTGTTCCACATACACACAGCTTCCTCAGCAGTGATTTCAAGCCAATGTTCCTAGGTCTTTTCCCCAGGATCTCTAATCAGCTGAGAGCATGATCCCTGACACTTCCCCGCCCTTTATGCTACCTGCCCCAGGCACAAAAAATTCTTGTTGTGACCTTGGACAAGTGACCTAGGTTTGGGGGATTTCAGTCCTTCATCTGCAATATCAGGGGATGGGACAAATGACTTCTGAGGTCCCTCCCAGCTCTAAATGCACCATTCCATGATCCTATAATTTCTGCTTACTTCGCATGTGCTTTGTACAAACTTACATGAGTACATATTGTCTCCTTAATAGCATATAAGCTCCTTGAGGGCAAGGACTATTTCTTTCTTTATGTGGTCCAACATATAATACAGTGTCTGGCACATAGCAGCTGCTTAATAAATACTGATTGATTAACTGATTGACTCCTGGGTGGTGCAATGGATAGAATGCCAGATTTGGGGTCAGGAAGACCTGAGTCAGATCTTATCTCAGACATTTAGAGCTGTGAGATCTTGAACAAGTCACTTAATTTTTGTCAGCCTCTCTTTCCTCATATGTAAAATGAGGATAATAATAGCACCTCTCTCACAGAGTTGTGGTACCGAATGGGAATATGAACTGCTTTGCAAACTCTCAAAGGCTATCTAAATGTAAATTGTCATTATTATATTTGGTGCTGAGCATTACGGGAGATATGAGAAATCTTTCACATTGTTCCTCCAGTTGAATAATTTACAATGTAGCTGGGAAAACAAGGTCTACCCGCAACAAACTAGCTATAGAATAACACTAGGTGGAATATAATTCAACGCCAAACCATGGGATACAAATCCTAAATGCTCTTGGGGTTCTGAGAAGGGAGCGGTCAGTGAAATCTACTCTTAGATGGTGGCTCCCAAGAGGACATGGGATTTGAGCTGAATCTTGAAGGACATGTAGGATTTGGATGTCCCTAGAAGCAGCTTGGGGTAGTGGATAGGGAGCTGACCTCAGAGCCAGGAATACCCGGGTTCGCATCCTGCCTCGGACACATGCTGACTGTGTAACCCTGAGCAAGTCTGCAAAATAGGGATGATAACTTCACCTCTCCTAGGATTGTTTGAAGACCAGTTGAGGTAACATATGTGATCTCGAAATAGAATCCAGGGTCAGAGATGACTCCATTGCTCTGGAACAATGTACTTGTGGCAGATTGATTGCAGCAGAAAGAGAATGCAATAGAAAGTACTTCGCAAACCTTGAAATGCTATATAAGTGCTGTTTGTCACTTCTTATAGCCAGATAGTTGGGACAAAGTCATCAGTTATAACAGCTACAGGAATCTATAGGGGGTAGCTGGCCCTTTAGGTTTCTCAAGCCATCAGTATTGGCACAGGTTTTAATCTAATTAGCCAGAGCTTCCCCAGTGTTACCCCAACTCTGACATGGACAGTTCCTTTTCCATTTCTTATTATTCAGTTTGTTTCAGTCTTACCGACTCTTCGTGACCCCTTTGGGGTTTTCTTGGCAAAGATACTGGAATGCTTTGCCATTTCCTTCTCCATCCTTTTCTACTGGAACCACCTAAATTTATTAATTCAGTATTGCTGGTGAAAAGCATTTTTTGAACTTTAGAAAACAAGTCAGTTTTATTGTCATATGTCACTGATTAAACAAGTGTTCCTGAATGTGCTCCTACTTGTTAGCAAATAGAGATGCCTCTGCAGGACCCTCACCCAGGATTGTTAGTTACATGGCTCAATTTTTCTCCACTGCATCTTTCAGGTGTGACTACTTGGGCATGGATTTATGATCATTCCAGTTTTGCTTTGCTACCCAGATGCCATAAAATCTTGACATGTGAGCGAACAGTTAGGAGTCATTAGTGACCGTGTTTGCTGCTGATAAATATGCAACATAGCTCTAACAAAAATAGAATTCAGGGTCAGAGATTACTTCATGGCTTTGGAACAATGCAGCTGTGGCAGATTGATTGTGAAGAATGCAATAGAGTTAAGAACAGGGAGAGAAAATATCCTGACTCTAATCGACTTCTTTCCAGGATTCTATAGACCCAACTTTGCCAGCTAGTGGCCTCCACTCAGAGATGCTTTGGGGGAATCCTGAACTGTTCTGTTTCCTCATCGACCTGGTGGAACACACCACCTTAGTTTGTGTGCATACACATGATGTGGGTATCTGGGTCTAAGACACTTACCTCCTTCTAGAGGCCTTTCTTGGGTAACTCCATGCACTGCTATCTTGCATATCAAAACTTCTATTAACCAGAATACACAGAGAATGCAATTTTCTAAGTTAAAAGAAGATAAATCATTGACGTATCTATTGTTGCAAAAAGGTGACATGGCAAAAAATGATTTTCAGCAGCAACACAGTAGAAATCCACAAAATGGGAATGTTTCTCTTTGAAAGCAGCCTTTTCAAAATGCAAAATCAGGATCCACAGTCATTGCCCTTTCTAGAACTGGAGGTTTCCTCAGTTGAAAAAAGAAAAGACAGGATTTCATTCATGATTATGCTTACCACTCCTTCTGGGCAGCACCAAAATGCACAGAGTACTGGGCCTGGAGTCAGGAAGACTCATCTTTGTGAGCTCAAATCTGGCCTCAGCAGTGTGACCCTGGGCAAGTCATTTAACCTTGTTTGCCTCATTTTCCTCATCTGTAAAATGAGCTGGAGAAGGAAAAGGAAAACTACTCCAGTATCTCTGCAAAGAAAACCCTAAATGGGGTCACGAAGAGTCAGACACAACTCAACAACAAAAACAGCAACAAATGCTCACAACTCAGAATGGAATTAACAGCTTTATATACCCATTTATTTATTTACACTGGTAAATTATGTTATGGCACATACAAGACCTCAGCCTAATTACAACTAAATTCCTCCGCAATATATAATCCCTCAAAATAGTCAAGTAAAATGGCATAATAATCACACCTGAGTATATGTAACCTTATATTTCCATATGTTAAAAGAAAGAATAATGGTATGCCTTATAAGTTATTACAAACATTGCCTAAGTTTTTTTTTAAACCTGGGTTTTGTGTCCCTTTAAAATTGACTTTATTTATAGTGCTATAGCAATTGTGTGTATTGTTATTATGGTATAGTTTGTCCACTCTGTGTGATCTCATATGGATCTTCCCATATTTCTTAGAATTTTTCATTTCTGTTTTTACTTGTCTGTCGATTGCCTAATTACTTGGCCTATGGTTTGTTTCTAACTTTTTGCTATTACAAATAGTGCAGCTATGAATATTTTCTGGAAAGCGGTCTTTCTTGTTGACAATAAACTCTTTAGGATATAACCCCAAAATGGAATCTCTCAGTCAAAAGGCATGAATGACTTTGTAATTTGTAAATGAACAACATTTATATTTCCAAAATCATGTCACTTTTTATCCTTTTTTTTTAACCTACAGGGTTATATTTTCATGGACAACATCTAAATAAAGAACTAAATGAGATTGATGTCCTCTCCTATGTCGTTCAGCTATTATATTTGTTAGAGTCGGGAGACATTTGACTTCAAAGGGAGACAGCTGTTTAGCAAAATAGATTTACAGCTACCTGTAATTGTTAGTCATTCCCTAGGCTCTATATAGGCATCAAGACATTCTCTGATGCTATTAAATGTCATTTAACCTGACAATAGGTGATAGTGCCCCTGATTATGCAGAATGAATGAATAAATGAAAATCATTAGTTTAATGTTTACTGTGTGCCAAGGACTGTGCTCAGTGCCCCTTTAAGGATACCAAAAAAAAAAAAGCCCTGCTTTCATGGAGCTTCCATTCTAATGGGGGAAACAACACATTTAGGTAAGTGGTGGCCAGGAAAGGGAGTTATGGTTTGAAAAGTCACGAAGATGGTGAGTGGAACAAGAGTGTAGTCCGTTAATGCACCCTTTCCAGAGGAATTGGTAATAGTGCTTTTATTGCAATTCTCAGAGAAAGAAGTAGGGAATACAGAAGTGAGGAGTTGGGGATAGGGAGGTACACTGACTGCGGCAGGGTTCAAAATGACCAGGAGAGAAAATGAGGAGCCCATGGTCTCAGGAAGTACAGAACTCAGAGTCTTAGCTCCTTCCAAGCATGGTTTCTGGTGGTCCTGTTTGGAGAGTTGAGAAGCAAGATGGCAGACCTAAAAATAGCAAGGGTGTAATGAACAGAGAGTTGTGTAGGTGTTAGTGGCTGAGCTGATGCAGAGATCAGAAAGGGAGAGAATAATCATAGTAAATGAATTGCTTGTGTAAGGGAGGTTGTGTCCAGGTGAGGAGCCCTGAAGAGTGAGCATATATATGTCCAGGTGGGGAATGCCACTATCCAAATGTTGAAACCCCCATGGCTTATGCATGAGCTGTGTGTTGTGGGAGTGGTTTACTATTCAATTTCATCCATTTGGAGACTTTGAAAAGATTTTCACAAAAGACAGGCCAGTAATACATAAAGCAATAGGTATTTATTAGGGTATTCTTTAAATCACACGAAGAAAAGCCAGAGGGGATGAATAAGTCTGGAGCAGAGACAAACTGTCACATATGCATTCCAAGAGGTCCCCTAAACCTGATAAGTGTTTTGGACTCTCATATAGAATACAGCAAAACCCTGAATGCTCCACCGATGATCTGAACCCAGTGGTTATTTGTAGCTGAGAATCCAGCGTCTTCTCAAACAGAAACAATAGTATTTGGGAAACAATAAGAAGAGAGCTTCGTCATATTCTTTATCCATGTGGCATAACCCTGAGCCCCACATACTCTCCACTTAGAAAAAGAGAGCTCTCGTGGAGCGTAAGAGCTTAGACGCTGGTAGAGCAGAGCCCAGTATGTGCACAATGCCACTACCAGCAATATTACAGAGGCAGCTCCTCTTTCCCGTTACTTTAGACAGTTTGTCCAGGGTTGTGGGAAGGTTAGGGGAAGATTTAAGAGAAATCCCAGCGCTGATTTCTCAGATATTAGAACAATAGATGAACCAGTGCATATATCACTTGATTCTATAGTTCCCACTCCTGTAACTGAGCCAGTTATTATTTTTCCACCTGTACTTCAGGGAAGAGAGTTGTCATCTCTGATGTTTCTAGGACAGTGCCACCTGGTGTTAAGAAAGCAATACTTTGTGTTTGAAAAGGGCAGACCCAAGTGGCTCATCATAAGAAAGGCTGAGGATGATGAACGGCAGAGGGTGATGCTTTTAATGGAGGACCACCATCCATTGATAGAAAAATTATCAGTGGCTTAAAAGAGAAGTCAATGAGGGGCAGCTAGGTGGCGCAGTGGATAGAGCACCCACTCTGAAGTCAGAAGGACCTGAGTTCAATTCCGGCCTCAAACCAAACACTTGACACTTACTAGCTGTGTGACCCTGGGCAAGTCACTTAACCCCAATTGCCTAAAAGCAAAAAAAAAAAAAAAAGAAGTCAATGAAATATTTGAATTTCTGCATTGGACATAGGATGCTACCTAAAACCAACTTGATAGTTTTGAAAGTTGCCTAGAGCAGTGGTTCACAAAGTGTAGTCTGAAGACCCCCCTGGGAGCCCCTGAGACCTTTTTCATATGGTCAATTAAGTCCAAACTGTTTTCATAAGAATATTAAGATGGTATTTGCCTACTTAAAAACTCCTTTTTTTCCAACTACATATCTGCATGAGGCTAAATTTTCTTCACATACTTCAACCAAAACGATATAGCCCAACACATTAAATACAGAAGCCCATATGAGAATCCATTTATCTTGTATTGAGCCAGACATAAAAAAGATTTAGAAAAATAAAATACGGAAAACAATTTCCCTCTTCCCACTTTTTTCTCTTTGGAAAATATATTAATTTTTTCATTTAAAATACTGTTTAGATTTATATGTGATTGGGTTTATTATTGTTTAAAATGAATAATTTTTTTAAAAATTTATTAGTTTTAATTTCTAATATGGTCAATATTATAGATATAACCCACATGAAAAAGCCCTTTGGAGTACTCAATGATTTTTAGTAGCTTAAAGGGGTCCTGAGACTAAAAAAGTTGAGAGCCAATGGCCGAGAGCACTTGCTAAGTGTCACATAGCTAGTATACATCAGCGGCTGATCATCTATTTGGGTAGCTAGATGGTACAGTGGATAGAGCAGGGCCTAGAGTCAGGAAGACCTGATTTCAAATGTGGCCTCAGACACTTAACTAGCTGTATGACTCTAGGCAAGTCACTTACAGTTTCCTCACTTGTAAAATAAGCTCTATTTTGCCAAGAATAAACCAAATTCTTGCAAAGAAAACCCCAAGTTGGGTCATGAAAAGTCAGACATGACCAAACAATAACAACAAGGCCTTCTATTCACTGCACCACACTGACCCCCTCTGCTTTCCTTATAGACATTGTGAAGTCTCCCCCAAGCCTTTCCTTGGCTGTTAAATTGTCAATCACATACATATTTGAAAGAAATCTCCGAGATCATGGATTTAAGCCCATCCCTGAAAAAGAATCACCACCATAGCATTCCCAAAACTTGTTCATGTATCCAGGCTCTCCTATCACAAGGAAACTCTATCTTTAAGCAGCTCTTTTATTTTGGAACAGCTCTGGTTGTTAGGAAATCTTTCCTTATATTGAGTCAAAATTTGTCTCTCTGCACTTTGACTTCTAGATTAGCCTCAGTGTCAAAAGAATAAGTTTAATTCATCTTTTACAGGAAGCCCTATGATGGACAAGCCAGTCTTTTTATCCTGCTGATATGCTGTATTTTTTTTTCAGATGGTGGGAACAATTAATTTGCAGTTCCTTTCCTTTTCTATGCTCAATGAGATGAGAGGTTCAATTGCAAATGATTAAATGGGTTGCTGTAAAATTAGAGCCTTCCAGTTTCCCTTAAAGTGAACCAAGGAATTGTAGAATGAACCAATAAACTCAATCCAACCCTCCCCCCAAGTGGTACAATCCCAGAATGACCATAGTGGTGCTTTGGGCTAGAGGACATCTTTCTTTGGGGGGAAAATGAATAAATCAGTTGATACCTGACTAGAAAAAATCTCAGTATCCATGCTTAAGCCTAGGAAATTTGTGCATCTTTCAGGGTTAAAAGGGACCTGAGACACCCTCTAATGCAAGTAAGAATAACTTCTGTCTATAACAACCCTGACAAATCGTCATCAGGCTTCTACTTCAATACCTCCAGAGAGGGAAATTCTTCTTCCTAAGGTAGCCCGTTCCACTTCAGTATAGCTGTAATTGTTAAGAAGACTTTCCTACATGCAAGCCAAATTTGCCTTTCTGCAGCCTTCTGTTGCATTCTAGGGATGCTGGGAACCCCAAAATTCAAAAGCAAAAGATGTCGGTCCTGCCTCGAAAGAATTTGACTCAGGCCTTATTTAAGTCAGAGATGAGGTTTATTAAAACATCAGTTGGGGTTGGTGAGATTCCTAGTGAGGCTGTGCTATCGGCCAAATTTTAAGAATCTGAGCCTTTGTGATGCCAATACAACCCAGCCAGACTCTTAAGGAATCTGAGCACTTTAATGGAGGCAAGATGGACATTTTATACAGAAAGGGGAGGATCTAGGAGTGGCCAAGTAGTCTGGGGTGACTGGGAGGTAACAGAGAAGAAAAGGGCCAGGTGCCCCAGGCATACACCAGGGACCTGGGCCACGTGGAAGGGGTCTAGATGGAATTAAGTGTGGGAAGTGGTAGGGGCTGATTCAATGAAGGGCTGGGTAAGAGGTAACAGAGAATTGGAGATAGGGGCAGGGTCAAAGTCACAATTCCAGGACAATTGAAAGGATTATACTGAGATGAGCCTCAGGTAAAAGCCAGGGACCTTGGCCAGATGGGAAAATCCAGGGCCTTTTAGGGGTCCTTCATTAGTGGCCCATCACTTCCACCCACTGCTCTGAGTATGCCCTCTGGAGCCAAAAAAAAGAAAAAAAACAAAGCAAGACCAAACCTTCTCACATGTTCCTCCTTCTGACTTCACAGTTTCTATCTGTGGCACCACCGTTCAACAGGCATCCATCATCCTAACCATGAGGTTGTTTTGACTCTTCCCTCTATCCTCTTGATCTTTCATATCTCATCGGTAATGAGGTCCTTTTAGTTCCATCTCTGAGTATCTTTCCCATCCCTCCCTGCCTGGCTATGCTCCCAGCCCCCATCTCAGTCCGTAGCCCTCATTAGCACCTACCTGAGAAATTATCAAAATAGCCTCTTTATCAATCCATCCTTTGCACTTTTTCAGATTAATTTTTCTTAGGCATACAAGTCCTCTACTCAGGAATCTTTGGTGACTCCCTATTCATTCCTGAGTAAAGATCATAGTGCTTTGTGGGGCATTCGAGGTTCTGTTCAACCTGATAGCACCTTACCTATTAAGCATTGCCCTTTCTCACATGCTCTAAGTTCCAGTCAAACTGTACAACTCTCTGTCCCCTGAATGTATATTTATGCTTTCACACCTCTCTTCCTCTGATCAGGCCATTCTTTAAACCTAAAATACCCTCCATTCTTCCTTTCCTCCATTTCTTCACTTACTGAATCCCTACCCATCCTTTCAAAGCCCACCTCAAACATTCTCTCCTCTAGTCACGTTTCCCTGCTACTCTGCTTGGTAATGACCTTTACCCTGAGAATTCACACCTCATTTTTATTTTGCCTTTATAATGCACTTATCATGTAATATTATATATTATAGCTTCTGTGTTTTTCTCACTCATTTTTTAAATTATAAGTTCCTTATGGTAGAACTGTATCTTATATGAACATTGTATCACTCTAGAGTCTAGTATAGTGCTCTACATACAATAGGTGTTTTATAAATGCTTATTGTCTTTTATTTCAATTCAAATGCCATCTTGTCAGGGAAGACTTTACTGGTTGCCCAATCAATAATGAACTTCCCTTTAGACCATATGCTAGCCTTTTTAAAACATCTTTTATGTACTTATGCATTATTTTGTTTTCTCTTCTGTATGCTATATATTCCTAATAGACTATAAGTATACACTCTGGTAGTGGAAGGCTGGGGTTGTTTCTCAGCCTTTTACGTTACCCAGTACCTAGCCCAAGGCACAAAGTAGGCACTTAATGAATATTACTTGAATTGAAGGGAATCATCATAGCTAGCCCAGCTTGGCACTTAAGGTTTAATTCATTTGTG